TACACAAGTTTAAAAATAGCAAAAGACACCAGATAAGAAATAATGGCGGTTACAGATTAGCTTGAACATGTTACAGGTCACCATCCTTTGAAGCTTAACTGATAATCTTAAAGGGTGCAAGGTAAAGTTGCTATGTGAAGTCCAAAAGAAGCAGTTGAAATACTTATGTTGGAAATTCTTTCCATATTTGCTATTAGTCACATTAGATTCCAACCCGCTTCATTAAGTTGGATAAAAGGTAGAGTGAAATGATTCAAATTTTCCTTATGGACAGCTTTTTACTCATCTAACTACTATAAATTCCAACTGTATTCTCTCTTCTTAATAGGAGAATATTCCTAGTTTTGTTAGGATAAAGTAAAATCCTACATCAACATGGTAACTGAATGCAGAAGACATACCAGCACACCTCTTAAGTTCAAATTGCACTTTTTGCTACATGTCCAAACTGGCATTAAGGTTTCACTGATGACGTTATAGGGGTTCCAAATAAACGACTTGTTTCTTAACATCTAACCCAATTGACACCTTAGCCCTAAACCTAACCGTTAGGAAAATAGCACATAAGGACATGTCCACACTTGGCAACAACTGGTCCTCAGTTTGATGTTAAAATTGGGAAAATGGTCCTCACTCTGAGGGCTAGACAGGTACACACACCCCCCCACACATCACAGCCTCCGGTGGTGTGTGTGTTCCTAAACCAACCGTGGCATCATCGGTTAAATTGATTTTAAAAATAAGTTCCTCAATTTTACCTGTGAAGTCATGAAGCTGCGGCAGGGTCTCCATAACAATCCCAATAAGAGGCAGGTAGAGCATGGCGACCCGAGCCTTGACCTCCGGGTCAGCATAACGAGGGTCAGAGTCATGGCTCGACAAGAGGTTGTGAACAACGCTTACCACCTTCTTATGTAGACCAAACATTCTGCAGTCAAACGGTTATAAAAGCAGGATAAGAAAATGCAGTATTTCCATCTTCATTCTAATCAGAATCTGTTTATTTACTTTTGAATCATCCTGCAAAACAAACTAACCCTTCATTATCTGGGTCCAGTAATACAGACAGCTCAGACAGCACAAGCCCAGCAAGATAATGCTGCTCTCGGAATGGGATGGAAAGCTCAAACATGTTGGCTATTTTTTGGTCCTGGACGTGAGTGGAAAACCCAGAGCTCTGTTTTTAAATAAAAGAAAACATTATTGTATGATTTATGACCATTTTGACTACAACTAAAACAACAGAAGTTTGTGAAATATCTAATAATTGTTATGTGATGACTTCTGACTGACCTGTGAGGTTGCTGAGGATACTGATGGAGAAGGCGAAGCAGGTGGAGTTAGCAGACTGCAGGGCAGATTCAGGGTGACGTAGTGTTCATGACTGCAAACTATTCGTAGAAAATCAAGCCGTAAAGACTCCAAAGTTGGGTTCTGCAATGCGTAAAGCTTTGTCGAAACCTAAGCATAGAAAGAAGAGATCCAGTGTGTAAACTTTGCTGTACAGGAAAATCTTATTTTAGACAAAAATAGTTGAAACATGTGCAGCGAAAAATGCCAGTCCTCCTGCCGGTCCGGCACCATTGTCAGCTGCTTGCCTAACTGGATCTTCCTCCATCACTTCCCAGGCGGTTTTCTTTCTGAATGAGTGTTAAGTGTTGCAGCACACAGAAGTAATTGCACCATTGCAGACGTATAACCTTCCTCGGTCTGCCCTACAGTTAAACCACATCCTCGCCTCCGAACATCTTCCAGCTGGAGCCCAGCTGAAGCTGCTGCCCGCTCCCGTTACCTTTTCCCCCTTTTTTTTTCTTGTTAACCTGAATCCGTTCTCCTGAGTGTGCTCTGCATGTGGGCAAAAGCCCTAAAAAACCAAAACATACTTTACGCATCTTTTAGAACATTCACAGAAAAGGCAGTTCTAGTTTTTTTTTTTTTTTTTATCTTTCTTAAAATGTCATATTCTGAATTAGTACAACTTAAGCAGGGTCCTTATGCATCAGTATTTCATGACAGCTTTCATATCAGACTTATATAAGTTTCTTAATTCCCATTTCAGATTTATTGGTCTTTTTTTGCTTTCCCTTAAAAAAAAATATTTAAGTTTACTAATTTTTTACTATTTCTACTATTCTCAGGCTTTAACTTGAAAAAGAGAAAAAGAAAAGAAAGTTTGATTGATGGAAGAATGAATTGATAAAGGAAAATTAAAAGAATAACTATAAAGATGGGAGAACAGATAAAGAGACAGATAGACAATTCCTGAATGTATAGATGTATTGAATGGACGGACAGTAGAAAAAAGGCACCTGTTTCCAATATGTCTTGATTAATGTGAAGACAAAGCCTCGGTCCATGACTGACAGCAGATCATTGAGGAAGAAAGCCAGACTTGTGTTAATCCTCTCCACCAACTCCAGATCCTGACAGGTATAAAAAAATTGATTTTCATTTAATGCATAAAAGTTATTTGAATACAAATGAAAGCTAAACACACATAAGAGGTGTTATTAAATTTGATTTCAAAAGGCAAATACAAAAAAGTAGAAAATAATATTTTTCTTTATTTTAATTTTTTTAAACATACTCCAAAGTCGATAGCTGAGATGTTAAGAAACTTTAATTGGTCTTTATTTACCTTCTGGAAACGAGAAACGATGTCTCCAGCAATTGTGCTGACCAGCGCTGTAATGTCATCCATAAAGCGCTCAGGAAATCGGTTTTTCCTTGGTGACTCCAAGCGCTCAGTGAAGTAAAGGTGGTGGATAATGCTCTTTACCTGCAGTGAAGGTTTTAAATTAGATAAAAAATATGAAGTTATCATGTTTTTGAAAAGATAATAAAAAAAATAAGCAGCAGATGATAAAAATGTGCAAAACACCTCCTACCATTAGCTCAAAGAAAAACCAGGCCTGTTGCAGAGCTCCCTCCCGAACACTCCCACTGCTCACCACCCACTGTAGGGCCAATTCCTCGTGAAAAAGCTGGGTAGCAAATTTAAAACGTAAAGATCGCGAGATGGAGAGATGTGTAGAAAGAGGGACACAACAAGCACTAGAGCAAGAGGAAAACAGGTGAGGTGACTAAAAGTATTAATAATAAAAGTATATATTAAAGTATATGTTAAAATACATTTAAAATAAAAATTTAAAATGTATGCAAAAAACAACTTTTTGTACATTTTGCAAAGACCCAGATTAGCGCTTAATAGGAAAACTACATTCTGACTGTAAAATAAATTGCAAAGAAATAATCCAGAGTGACCCTGAGTATTAACCTGTAATAAAAGCAGAATTATGTTTAGTGCTCCAGTGCAGAAAACAGGTTTTAAACCGTAACATTAAACAATCAAAGAATAATGACAGTGTGGTTTACACATAGGATTTGGTCTGTTTAGTTTATAATTATTTAAATCATTTTGAAACCTGAAAATGCATTTATGCCATTTTTTCCCCCATTGTAACATAAATAACTAAAATAGATATTTTCTTCTTTAAAAGGCTATAACTAAACTTCCGATATTAAATAATATTTAACATCAACTTCATTCAGCATAGTCTAGCAAATGCACTAACTTTTGCCTAGAAAGTCTTCCCTAAATTTGTTAAGTAAATCAGATCTAACAATAGCTAGTCTGCTGGTCAGGATTGTAAAAATATTAAGGATTAAATGCAAGCTTAAGCAGAAAAAACAACATTTTTAAGCAAAAAAGGGTTTTAGAATAGAAATGTTCTATTCATATATTGGAGGAAAAAATAAAGCAGTGCTGAGATTTTCCTGTGATTGGGAAGACTTTCCAGACAAAGTGACCTCACAGTCAGCCTTAGCCAAACTGAAAAATAAGAAATGAGAATACAATCAGAATCTCTGAGAAAGAGGCAAAAATTGTGATATACAGCATTCAACAAACCAACACAAAAACCAAATACAACATCAACCAATACAGAAGCACACAGAATCCACAGACAGAACGGGTGAGGAGGCGAAGAAGAGGAGTGCGGGGTCGGCTCCTCCCCCAGTGCAAGTGGCTCTACCTTTTTAGTGGGTAACCGTCCTGTTAAAGTTTGCAAGAAACTGGCGCTCTCAGTGTGCGAAGACATGCGATTGCCACAGCGCTCCATGGCCTATGAGTGGGATGAATGGAACGGTGACAGCAAGGTTAGTGGAGGAGCAACAAAAGTGTGGGGCTATTCCTCAGCACGTGGGCCACAGGGACCGTGTGCTAAAGGCACGGATTCCCCACATATACATGCACAAAAACACACATTTGTGATTGTGTTGCTTTTCATACATGAGGACACAAAACAAAACACAAGATGGGACCACAACAGCTAAATGTTGTGCCACTAAGCTAGCAGAATATCGGCTTGAATACCCTACGGTGGAAATGCAAAATGGCTGCAAACAAGGCAGACTTTTTAAGTGTTGCATTGTCATGATGCACCATTCTGCATCCCTACAGGGATTTACAAGAATGAAAACATAAAAAAGACAAACACGTCCTACAATAGCTAGAGAAGTTTTATTGTAACAGTGCTTTACAAAAGTATTCATACTCCTTACACTTTTAAACATTTTATGTTATAACCACAAAATTAAATTTGTAAACTAAAGTTTATTTTCTTTGTGGCCAACCAACACTAAGTAGGACATAGTTGTAAAGTGGAAGCAAAAGAATAATTGACTATCATAATATTTTCGGGTTAAAAAATCAGGAATGTGTTGCATGCTCACTGAATGGATGTAATTCTGATTGAAATGAATTATTTTATCAATTTGCTACACGATTGATTCATGTTTATGACTGTTTAAAGACAACTTTCAACCAAAAAAGATAATTGAAACTAAAATTTCAGGACTCCGGTTCGCCAAGGGTTGCAACTCTATCATTGGAGACGTCTGACTCTAAGCATTCCACCACAGCTTTGGCCGCATGTTTGGGGCTACTGTCAGTTTCAACCTCTAAAAGGTTTTCTTCAAGGACTGCTCCATATGTATCTATATCCCACTCTCTATAAACCCTGGTTAGCGTCCCTGTCCCCAAAGAAAGGCTCTGAGAAGAACAGAATGATGGTGTTTTTTAGAGTGATGTGCAGCGTTCAAAACCACATACTCCAAATTTAGCACTTAGATCCCCAAAATAAAATCAGCTTTTAATCCCAAGGAACAAATTCAGGGTTGTTCTTTCTAAATTGTTACACCTTGACTTTGGAAAGAGATATCATTGTTTTGGACATTTTGTTAAATGTTTTCACACAGCATTCTGCTGGAGTCTTGGTTTCATATAAAGAGACGACTACATATTCCCTGGCTCCTCTATATAGCTTTAGACAATTACAAAACTGATTTGTTATGGCCCTCTGATAGTATATCACACAGTTGGGAGTTATTAAATAACCAACTTGGATAGGATTATTAACGCTTCTACAAAGAGTGAAGATGGGCCTGTTGAATGTTTTTTTTTTTCCCCATAAATGCCTTTCCTTCATAGCGTTTGTGGCTACATTAACCAGCCAACATCGATAAGCAGTTGTCTCTTTTTTTCTGAGTTTGAGATTATGGTTTATAAAGATGGCCAAAGCTTGATATATTGTGCTTTAATCTTATTTCAATAACTCCCCTTTAAAATAGTCCAATGCTTTGTACTGAACTGTTAGCCAGGTCTCCTGTTCTTTGCCAGGCTGTTTGTTCATTATTTGTTTCTGAAAGACCCCAAAGGCCTTAGAAGAACAGATGAATTTATACTGGAATAACAATTTTGGTGACTTCTACAGGCAGCTGCTTGCACTAGGTTTTATTTTAGGATATGGGAGTAAAGGAGGATGAATATAGATGGATACCAGGAGTTATGTTTCCACTTTGCAATTATGCATGTTTTATTCCATCTATAACATCTTAATTAACTATAATGATATTTGTGGTTGTGCAAAATAAAATTATAAAAAAGTTAGAGGGGTATGATTAGTTTTCTAAGGCACTGAGTATTTATATTTTTTAAACAATCAATGCCACCTTGGTAGCTGCATGTGTGTTTTTAAGTAACAATGCTTACGTCGTGAATAGTCAAAATGAAACATGGCACAATATCAAATAAAAATGTGTGGCAAGGAGCTCACATGGGTTGATCCACATTCACACTCACAAGTACACACATCTTAAGAGATAGAGCGGATAGAAAATGTGAAGAGACATGCAAGTGACCTAGCTGAGCGAATGAGAAGGAAAAGACGACAGAACAGGAAAAAATAAAAAAGCTTGCATGAAAAATGAAACAAATGACAGCACTAGTCTTTTTTATTCTTCCCCACCAAAGAGTAATGTTTATGAAATCTTTACACTTGGCACATTATGTCTGTTTAATAATGAGCACTATCAATAATTCTAACGAAATCTACAATCTAGTCAAAAGTGGTATTTAGGTGTCTGAATCACGATGACTTTCATGCAAGTCGAAGAAGAAAAAGGGAGACATTAGATGAGAAAAGCATAGAGTGTTGAAACCTTTTTCATTATGGCAGCAACAAGAGTCTTCAGTGATCCATTTTTACAGGTTTCACAATAAATGTAACATTGCTATCAGTACGTTGAAAAATTTTAAATGGGTAGTTTATCAAGTCCCCCCCACCTGAATTAGCCAGTCAGAGATTACACGTACAAAAAGTTTAATACAGGTTAAAACTGATTTATAATAGTTATGTGGATGAATAAGCAGTCGCTCCACTCTTTTTATTTTCACTGATTCTGATTCCTGATTGATTCATAATTTAGCAATATGTTTACAGTAAATAGCTTAAAAATAACACTAATATGTAAAACATTAAAGCCAATTTTTCATGTGTAACCATCACCATAATTATTACTTTAGTATTGATGTAAAAACTCTTTTTCAACATAAGTTTTAATTTATCATTTAGACCAGTGGTTCCAAATTCTGGCATCGAAGGAGCCTCCCTAATGTGCATCGGGAGGTTATTCCATAAAAGAGGAACAGCGATAGAGAAGGCTCTTGCCCCTCTGAGCCTCCTCGTCTTTAAATGATTATCTTACTGCATAACAGAATTTTACATTGCTATTAAAAAAAGAAAAACAATACCTCTCAAAGTATGTAATTTATCCAATCAATTTCTTCCAGCCCCCCTAGGGTGCATGCTGTCATTTTGTAAGTACTGTTTTAGACAATATCCAAAGGAATTAATTAGAGCACTCAAACATATTTGTATGCATTTCTTTCCCATATCCCGACTGAAAAAAATGAGAAAACTCTGTATTTCTAAGACTTTGTAAGGCCCCTGCAGTAATAACAAACCGTTACTACCAAATAAGTTTTATATAGCCAGTGAGGAGCTAACCGGGATGATTTTATAGCTAAGATGATCTATATTGCTATTATCTGTTAATGTAGTGATCGTCTTAAAGGTTGCCATTTGTTTAAAAGTCCCATGCATATCTAGCTGGATCACTAAGAAACTCATGTTACTGCCTTTTCTGAACAAGGCTTAGGATGAAGAGAGGTCATGGAGGCGACTGTGACTCCCATGAGTCAAATCATGGAAGGATTGTGATCTAAGGTTTAGGAGAATGCTGTAATACTCAGAAGGTTTGGTCTTTTAAGGACATTTTTAACATTTTATAAGGCTTTGGAATGGAGTTCCAAAAGTACCACACTTTCCTAAATAAATAGATCGTGGAATAATTTATTGAGTTAGTTAAAGTTGAAATGTTAGAAGAAATACATTTTGGCTACAGTAAACAAATAAAGATATAACACTTAATGTGTTCATTTTGAAATTCATTAACTAAACATAACAGTATTTATGTAGCATTAAGGCAATAAACCAATAACCAGAAGCATTGCAGTAGAATCTGATCAATTTCAATAGAAAAAAAACATCCAATAAAATTTAGCTTAACTATGAATCAGAACCACAAAGCATTCTGGGTAATGTAGGTACAGTAAAGGACAGCCTCTCAAGCTTTCATGGCCAAGCTAAGTAAGGTTGGTGGCAGGGCTGTCCTATTTTTAAAGGCTATGTTTGAATAGGGTTACCATTTAAGTGTACCTTTTTTTTCTGTTCAAATAAGTTTAAAAAAAGTTCATTAGTGATACCCACTGATATGAACGTCTATTGAGACAAACTTTTCAGAAAGAGTCGTAAATCTACATTAATTGTAGTAATATTCTCTTTTTTTAACATCCTTTTTTAAACTTTAAATGGGAAATAAACAAAATCTGGACAGAATTGAATAAATCAATAAATACAATGCATTTTTTTTCTTTTATTAAGTGAAAGCAAATCTTTTGGGCTATCGTCTACCTCTAGCACAACTATTTCCAGAGCCACATTGGCAAACAGGACGCAAGCAACATTTTTTTTATATATATATTTTCTTCTTGGATAAATGTATAGTGTTTTCTTGAACAAGAAAAAGACGAGGTCAAACATTAACAACTCATATTCAACTTTTTTAAAGAAACCTAGTAGGCTGCATAATAATCTTCTGGTTAAAAAGGAGTTTTTTTCCCCCCACTGCTGCTGCATGCATGCTCAGTGTGAGGGGTTGCTGTAGAGTCAATGACACAATGCAAGCGAATATCTAAGGTCACCACATGCTCATCTAGGAAGAGCTCGACCTGCAAAGACTATGACTCCATGGAAACCACTGGTTTTCCTTAGATAAAAACCTTTAACCAGTCTGTTTGATCAGATTGAATATCCTCTGTAAAGTGCCCTGAGTTTACATTATGTTGTGAATTGGCCCTATATAAATAACTGATCTGTTTCCGATCATTAAGTGATTTATTTATTTATTGATTTATGGTACTTTTGGACCTTAAAACATTTTAATTTTTTCTTACATTTAGTAAATAGTGGTTGACTTTGTCAGAAAAAATGGCTTAAGAACACTTAATTTGCTAGTACTTTAATGACAATTATTAGCAACAGAGTAACCACTACAAAATGCACATTAACACTTCTTTGTGAGTATAAGAAATGATGTTAGACCAAAACTTCAAGTATACCAGTATTCATTCAGTGTGAATAAGGTTGTTCTTGCAGTGAGGTAAAGTGAAGGACGGGGCATTCATAAAACCACCTGCATGGTTTCTGGAGCGGACCCAGGGCTGGATCCCCAGGGGGCACTACAGCCCATGGTGTGCACCCACGAGTTGGAGCGGTCTAAGCCCTATGGGTGCCAAGGTCAAAGGACACAAGGCAGGCAGGAAGCAAGGAAACAAGCGAGCAGCACGGGGGGGAAGGAGGAGGGAAGGAATAATGACAAGTTAAAGCGGTTTAGAATCATGACTTCTGGAAGATCCCAAAGGCCTCCCAAAAAGGTTAGCTTTCAATAAGTTAAGATTCAAATCATCACCACAGAGCAGCAAGGTTGAAAACTTCTTCATATCCCTTTCAATATGTGTGTACAAAAAAGAGGCTTTGTTAAATATAAACAGAAAGTGGGGCATTCATCAGTAAAGGGCTGCATCCATCATATTAAGGTTAGAACAATGAAATGCGTAAAAAAAACACATTCAGTCATTCACTCACTGCTCATGGATTATCTGAGTTAAATAAAAAATGTTTTACGTGGGAAATACCAAATCATACAAGTTGAATGACAACAGATAAATAACATGAAATAAAAGACAAAAAAATCCAATAAAATGAATGGAACCACAGCTTTGAATTTATGTCGCTGATAGCATTAACTCATTCGAGGTTTTGTGGGAAGAGGTAAACAGAGATAGAGGATGTCCAATTTTATTTTTACGCATTGGTTATATATTTCACATGTTAATAAAATCCACACTGGGTCAAAAGACACATGGAGGCCTCTGTGTTATGTATTTTAAGAAGCACAGATCCTTTTCACCTACTTTACTGAAATCAGACTACTTTACAAATCAATGAGTTTCTAGATAAAAAAAAAAAAATAAAAAAAATAAATTACATATAGTATCTAGGATCAATCAGCCGAGGGGACAAGCCAAATGGGTCATTAGTTTAAGAATCCAAAAACATATCTATGCTGCTGAAATTGTCCAAACTGGTGGCAAAATGACACTTTTAGTGAGGGGGCCTTTATGATCCATTTACATCTTTCGAACTTGAGAGATGAAAGATCTAAAAAATAAATTTTGACTCTCTTACCTTGCTTCCAATTATAGAGCGAACCTCGTCATCGGGAGATGTGGGCGTACCGGAAATGTCAGGGTTACTGTTGCTCAGGCTGCGGGAGCGACTGAGGTTAAGGCTGGCTGGTCTGACCGCCGAGCGAGCCATGGTGGCATAGTGAACTGAACCTCCCAACCCCCCAGGACCTGGGACATAGCACAAAGACAAAGACGTCATAAGTCAACCGGTATAGAAAGTGCTTTATACTTCATACTTTTCTTTACTTGAATTTACATTGATCTCAGTCATTTCTCAATAAAATATGTTTTTAAATTAAATAAAAAACTTTTACAATTAATTTAAGGCACATTTTTCTATGGCAGATATGAATCAGAGACAATAAAGAGAATAATGAGAAAGTGATTGTATTATTTCTTTCTCTAAGCCGATCCTGACCTAAAAAGCACAATCAACCTAACATGCGGATAATACGTGAGGATGAAAAAACATGTGAAGAGACCACTGATATCTATGTTCAAAATCCTGCATCTTATACCTTAAAGCAATAGATCATAGCTACCTGTTAAAGATGAAGTGGAGGCTGTGTTGGGCGCGAAGAGGACAAAATAAAGGTGGAAGTAAAAAAAAAAAAGGTCATAAGGTAAAAAATAAAAATAAAAAAAAAAGAAATGGAAGAGAAATTAATACATGCATTAAGAAAAATCAATATGGTTGATGAAAAAAAGGTTAGAAAAAAAAAAAGATTGGGAATAAGTAAAATTAGTTTTAAAAGTGTTGACTGTTACCTGGTGATGGTGAGTTGGGATCAGTGCTGGGTAAGCGGAAGACATAGTGGATGTAAGAGGACAGCAAGCTGTTGCGACCGTGCATGTCCTGGCTGGTGTCCAGATACTTGTGAAGCCGGTTCACAACAGATGCCATCACCTCAAAGGATGCCTGACCTAGATTCACTGAAACAGACAAAGATAAAGGTTTTTACTGTAAAACTGAATGCACGGGAATAGAATAATATATCAAATTCATTATTTTCCACCTCTTTCAGTGCTCTTTCTTTTTTAGACAGAGTAATCCAGAATCATACCAATCTGTCCAGCGATGACTGGCGGTCGAACTACGAGCAACACCAACTTGTCAAGTAGAAGGTGAAGGAATCGAACCACCGGCTCCAGCTGTGCCGAGTTTAGCGCGGCGATGCTGGACTTCAGCTCAGTCTCAAGATTGTTTTCCATGATGCGCATATCTCCAATCCTGACCGGAAACACATGCTCATCCAGGGCATGCACCAAGGCGAAAAACTTATCCAGGTACTGGTCCTAGAAAAATGAAGAGGGACATGCATGAGGGACACATTTCTTATGTATTGGCAGGACACTGTACAAAAATAATGAAGAAAAGACTAAAACAAATGCGCTAAAAAAAGTCACAAACTGCATTTGTTTTGTTTGGCCTAGATTAGTGCCCTTTAACCTGAGTAGTAATCTTTTTCCAACCAATGCATAAATTAAAGCTATACCAGAATGTGCTTCCCACAACACTCTATGGCAGGGGTGGGCAATTCCAGTTCCTGAGGGCCAGTATCCTGCAGCTTTTAGATGTGCCTTTGGTTGAACACACCTGAATCAAACAATGAGATGATTGAGAGGATTCTAGAGGAACTGGCTCCATACTGAGGGAGTAAGTCAGCCATTTGATTCAAGTTTGTTGGACCAAGGTTAGATCTAAAATTTGCAGGATACCGACCCCCAGGAACTGGACTTGCCCACCCCTGCTCTTTGGTGTGGAAGTTGTCAGGTCAAAAATGAAGTCACAGGTGACACAGATAATATCTAAAACTTATAGTAAAACAAACCGTTTTTATGGAGCTCACAGAGCTATTCATTCAGAAAAGTTAAGCTCCAACTAGGCATTAATGTCTTTAAGGCATGCCAGTAGTGGTGAAAGGGAAAAGGGCCTTTTTCTTTTTAATAGGAACATATATCTGACTATCATCAGCATAAAAAAATGATGAGATGCAATGCCGTCTTATTATGGATCCCAGGGGCAGCAAGTATAAGGAAAAAATAAGGCATCCTAACACTGAGCCCTGTGGAACCCCATAAAGAAAAGGAGTGGAGCTAGATTCGTAGTTCCCAAGGCTCATGCTCAGACTTCTATAGGAAAGATAAGAACCATGTCTTTTATGCTGTCACATAAAATAAGAATAACACACAAAAAAAGAACCTAGGGCAAGATTGAATAGAGCAGTGGTTCCCAAAGATTTTCTTCTGGGCCCCCCTTTGGATTACAATAAGATGTCCACGCCCCCCACCCCACTGGATTAGAGTAATAAGTGAGCCACAAAGCCAAGAATGCACACTTCTGATCTAACAGACAAAAACAGCGATCATTTCTTATTACAACTGAAGCCTAAAGATGACGGTAATTTCTAAATAACTACTTAAGAAAATTGTCGAGGCAAAATATTAAATTGGTCCAAAGGACAGATTAGTAACAGCCTCTTATGCTACATCATCTTATGATCACACATCATCATAACAAATTATTTTAGGGTTAAACTGCAAACACTGATAAAAAAAATAAAAGTGTTCTTAAAATAAGTGCATCTGCCCTTAAACTGAGCAGGTAAATAGGCTGATCTCTCAAAGGAATGAGAATTTCTGCTCTTAAATCTCGAAACATAAATCATCTTATTTCATTTGTAAATTGTCTTAACTCATTACACCGAGGGAAAATACAGTTCTCCCAGTCAAATATAAATGTTCACAATTAAAAATATGTTTTTTTCAAATCTATATTAGCCCCTTGATTCTGTTGCAACAACATAAGCAATGTAATTGTGCTGTTAGTTGAACTTAGATATTAGCAATCAGGGACGGATCTTAATGGTGGCCATGGGGGCCATGGCCCCTCTTTAAGTAATAACATCATGTAGAATGTCCTGCTTTGACATTAGCATATTAACCAAAAAGTGACAACAAATACAGCATTCAATTCTATACAACAATATATTACAATTAAAGAGGACCAATATAGAATTCAGACTCTTCTATGAATTAGTTTTTATGTTTTATGGGGTACAGTTTGTTTCTGCAGTCATTTAGGAGTGTTCTTTTTAACTGAAGATAAAGATCAATGCATTCAGTGTATATATTATGTAGAACCATACATTTATTTAAGCAGCACCAATGTACAAATAGGTTTGTAGCATTATTAGCAAGGACCTAATTAAATTTGGCTCCATCTTCAGGGAGCCTATCTTTAACAACTTTGAAAGTATAGATGTAGGTTAAATGTGAAGAGTATAGGTTGACCCTTAACCGTTGTCGGTACTCATTAGTCTTCGGCCACCCCCCCAGTGCACATTGGTCCCTGTTAAATGTCCTAGAGCCGCCACTGCACAATTCTGGTTAAGAGGACTAGCGTTTAGTAGTACACAATGTAGGGAGAGCAGTTATCATGGATGTGGGGGCATCCGTGTTAAGGTAGATAAATCTATGATTTATCATTCTATCATATGACAGTGCATCAGATTTTTCTACTCCAATATTAAGTTGACAAAAATATAACTATTTCAATTTCATGTAGTAGAATCAAGTTAGGTGTAAAAAGAAATTAAAATAAAAAGTGAGAAAGCTGTAAAGAACATTTAAGATAGGTGTTAATGATATTAATTTGGTGTAATTTCCATTAAAACCTCTCTGTCATAGTCAGGAGCATTTTCACTCTACCCATGGATTCTATCAAGTGAAACAGGGATAGTTTTTTTTACCTTTAGCTGTTTTTTCCCAAAAAAAATCCAAACATCAGATAGTAGAATTTTTTTACTTTAACATTTTAAGTTCTTAAAGACAAATTGGAATTGGGGAAAGTTTGTATTGACAGAGATTTACTAAATTCCCGGTGTCTCCCCCAAAAAATCAATTAAATGTGTATCCGTGAAACAGAAAAATCATAATAATGATAAGAAGATGGAACCTGCTGATTGCCTTGTGTGTAATTTGGCAAGCTGATTTATTGAGTAAAAGGTGCAAACGAAATATTACAGCAAGAACATTTGGGAACCTAATATATAGCAAATATGTTCCAAGTGCTTTGATTTATGAGCAGATCAGCTGCAGTGAGCCCAATCCAAGCATCTGAACGGCAGCTGATCCAGAGTAGTAGCCTTAGTAATTTGTTGGCAAGGAAAGACTCACCTGCTTTTAAGTAATGTTGGGAAGGTCTTATTGTGTAAAACGGAAAAAAAAGGTTTACGTTTCTCTTCAATGAGAAACGTAAACCTTGACATTTGCTAAAGTTATACCAACTAACATAGAGAGCACAAGGTCTTTATTCAGAGCGGATCATTTTAAAGTGGTTGATAACCAAAACACACACACTCATCCATACAAGAGGAATAAAGAACCATACGAAAAGTCAGAGGTTAAGACAGGTAATCTGAAAAACTTGTTAATCTGCAAGATATTGTGAATCATCTGTGCAAATGTATTTTACCTGTGTGTGGATAGTGGAAACAGCCACCAGCTCCACATTAAATACACCTCGATGGTTGTCTACCCACTTCATTCCTGGAAGAGGGACCTGAAATAAGACAGAAAAAATTAGGGCTTGCTTTGGCAAGAGGAAGAAAAAACAGAAATAAAAAGGGTGAAAGTGTGAAATTTGTTCTTTTTGTAAGGATAATACTTTATCTAAAGCCCAATCAGAAGGTGCAGAAAAGAAAAGAAACTGCACAGAATCACAACTTCCTGATTGACCTTTTAAAAGGGTTTAACATTTTTTATTTTTACAAGTTTTAAACAACTTTTTTTTTTACAGATTGACAGATATTCACAAAAAACTCTTTAGAGAGTAGTTGGGAATTAAGAGGATCAACTTTGACCTTTAAAAAGAAGTTAGATGTCAACTAATAGGACATTGATAAGCATCTGACTGGCTATAGAATGTTTATATATAAAATAACAGAACACTCTAACAGCAGAGCTTACATCTGGAGAGAGAACTGAGTATGACTGTGGTGGTTTCTCAAGGGATACAGGCAAGCAAAAGTGTCCCGTTCTCAGGCGACCATTCTGTAACATTGGGATCCACTGGAGAAAGAAAAGGTTTTCATCAGTAGGCGTAAACTTGGATCCTTGCAAGAGATGGCAGATAGATCCAAACAAAATGAGCATATTGATCTGTCTTTTAAAGTACATGATTGTGGTTTGACCTACCGTGTACCCCACAGGGGTCTCTAGTGGTGTGTTCTGCTTCTGCTGGCAGCTAACATGGTAAAACGTGAAGAGAATGTGGTGGTGGTCTGACAGCGAAGCAGGCAACTTTATCTTTATCTCATCATGGAAGTCAGGGGATCTGCAGTCATATATGACAAACATTTAACTGGAACATACCTTTAAAAATCAGAAAGATTTTTATTTTTTCCTTGTTGAAGAGCTAAGTGTGAAGCTCTGCTTTTCCAGGTTCTTTCTTAGTTTTTCATGCTTAGCCCTGAGTAATAGCCAAGGTGTCTGTCTCTACTACTTCTATTATTAAAAAGTAAATTAGGATAACACTTTAAAACCTCTAAAATAACCCAAAGAATTTGTTTTAAGATCACAAAATATTTATGTCAGCCTCTTCATATGTGCTATATTCTCCTCAACTTATAAACTCTATCCCAGGCAAAGTGGAAATATTTACTGCTTTTATTTCTTCCAACAGCCTGTTTGATTAAGTCTAGCTGTAAATCAGCACTGGTTTCACCATTACAACAAAATCTCAGTAATAACACCTTTTATTTTTAAAAACCCTTATCTGGCCTGGTGCATGGAAGTAAAAATAATCAGCAAGAGCTGAACACAAGCAGTGTCCCATAATTTCCGATTTCATTTCCATTCAAACTAACAACAATTTCTTCTGGAAACTATTTAGAAAGCAGCAGCTGCGCTCTACCCAATGTGATCAACTCAATTAAATTAGTTTTCCCCTTTTTCTAAATTCTCTATTCTGGCGGAGGAACTGAGAAAAAAACAAGCAAACTTATAAATTAAAAGCAGTGTGTGTATTTTTGTTAATGTTTTACCTCTCCACAGTTCTTTGCTGCCTGCTTCCTTAAATGGAAACTTTCATGGCAAGAACTGTGCTGCACAATTTTACATTTCTGAAAACAATTGGCTCAGTTTTCAGACACTGTTTTTAAGACCATATCTCAGGTGGTTTAAAAATAATGTTTTAAACCTTAAAGCCGTAGGGAAACAGCTGTTCCAACAGTTGCATTTCCGAATTCTCACCAGTGGTGCACGACTTTACGCGAAGGAATCTAGTGAATGTGATTGGTTGTTTATCAAGGGGGTGGGGTTGTTGTGGCGGAAATATGCAAACTTGATTGTAGCCAGTTTCTCAGAAGCATCTTGCTGACAAGTTAGCACCTAAGTGCTAGTAGGTTCCGAATGGGAAATTTTTTTGGGACTTACCGGTAGTAGCACTAAATTGGTGATTTAGCAACGACACTGTCAAGGAGTGCTATGGACAGCCGAAACATGCAAGAGGAGGAGAGTTCTGTGTCGGAGGTCGTGGATGAGTCTCCTCAGTCATACATTTTTTATTTAGAGGAGAAAAGTGAGGACGAAGATTTTTCAAACAGGACGCCAGGGTGGCAGAAGCTTGGTTTGGTGTAGAAGGCTTACAGCCGTACATGTACACAGACGTCCATCCCCGTGAACACTGGGACGTAACTCAATGGTAAAGTAAATGATTCTTATTTTAACCGTTGCGTAAATTAGCTGCAACATATGACTCAAGATACTATGACCGAAAAATTTGATTGATAGATGACCATTGATATGTGATTAACTAAATTTAGGTGTACAGGCTGACGTATAACTAACTGGTCTGCATAAGATAACAAAATTATAAGACAGATTTTAAGACAGGATTTTTTTTTTTTTAAATAGAAATGTTCTAAATTTTGGGACAATATCGTCTGATATGGAGCAGATTTATATACATGTTTGAGCCAGAAAGATTTTACATTTTAATACGATTTCCCTAGGACCTTAAGTAATCTTTCTTTTAGTAATCTAAATGTCAATGTTACAAAATTGGACCTCAAGGCTGTATATTAGATCCACTCTTAACAATTTACACAAATGTGTGTCCGTAATTCTGTTTCTTATCATTAACACCTCATCATAGAAGCTCCTTTCATAATTCTTTTTCTGGCTCTAATGTTCATAAACAGACTGATTAACACAGCTAATTAAGGTAAGACTGGGGCCAGATATTGCCATAGAGACATCTGGAAAAACACAGAACAACAGAAGCTGATGAATATCCAGAAGTCACAGAGTAAGCACAGACTTGCACAAATAATTGCAAAGAAAGACTAGATAAATGACTGGTTCTGTCATTTATATCCAAGGCATTTTTTGTAAAGTCCTACAATAAATCTTCTAAGGCGACCAAGTAACAAAGAAGGTAGTTAGATTACATAAGAAATTAACCTCAGGTGAATTTTTTTGAGGTCCCAAAAGAGGACACTTTCTGTGCTCCCAAGGTCAGAAACAATCAACAAGCATGTCAACACTACTAAAACTGACTGACAGGGGAAATGTTAAAAAACTGTTTAAAAGAGGTCATAGCTCGACTCCCAATTCTCATGGACAAAATTTCTAAAGTTTAGTAACAGGATAGGAATTTTATTTTGGTAAAAATATATTTCATTTGCTTTGGAAGGAGACTAGATTAGTGGGCAAAATGTATATGTAACAAATACAACCTCAAACCAAGTTGTCTTTTAAAAAGAACTGTATGGCTAAATTGAATAATTTTGTTAGTCTAGTGTTAAAACTGTAGTCATAGTAGAACTTAAAAAAAGGCTTAACAGACACAAAATAAGCTCGTTAAAACAGCTTTAGCTTATAAAGAGGAGAGTGTAATATATAAATCCTCTTAATTAGACTTTATTTAAGAAGCTCATCTTCTAATTACATGACTTCACAAGGTAAATGAAAAGATTGGGAATCTTACTGACACACGCACCTGTTATGGTACACAACTGCAGTGTAGGCATCTTTATAAAAATCTGCACAACTTGACTTCCCGAATATGACCTAAAGGATGAAAACCAATAACGTTACTGCGTGCATTAAGCCTAGGAGTTTTCCTTAAAAAGGAAAAATTCCTGACTAAAGAACACCTCATTTACTGCTGTAAATGAAGGTCAAAGCTTCCAAAAAATAGTGTGAAGCTAATTTGAATGGCATTAGTATTATTTGAGGTAGTGGCTTACAGGCATTGCATTGCTTGGATCCTCTCCATTCATAAATTGCACTTTGACTGTGATGTTGCGAGCAGAGCCTTGGCGGTTGGCAAAGTTGAGGCTCTGAGGGTTTACATACAGCAGATTCCTGAAAGGAAAAATCAGCCAATTATAACATAATAAACACAAGTTTTCAACTGTCATTATAGAACAAGGGACAGGCATAGTGAAGAAAAATACCATTTTCATGACAGGGATAGAATTATTAGATCATATCGTTGTTCTTAACAGTGGAATCGAAATCAACATATTATTCAAATTTCTGAAAACATAACCATTACAACAAACAAACAGCCTTTAGTTAGGTCATCAGCGACAAAGACAATTTTCTTCTAAAAATGACATCAGCCCATGTGCATGTAGTCAAATACTCTCAAGTAAATGTAGTAGTTTTAGGCAGCCTGGCCAATCAGGCTGACTTGCATGTGACACAAATGAGTCTGGTTAGCTCTAGGGCAACAACTAACGATTATTTTGCAAAATGATTAAACTATCGATTACTTTTTCGATTAATCGATTAATAATCGGATAGCCAAAGGTTCCTTAAAGAACAGTTTTTACAAAACCAAACCAGGTGAAACTAAAACTTTTCCACTTCAAGAGGCTGGAGAGAGAATATTGATGGGTGAAAAATACTTCTTTTTATTTTAAATGCAAAACTTTTATATAGTTTTTACAATTTTGGTAAAATTACTGCTCAAAGTGGGTTGCTCTGTCAGCTAAAGGCAGGTTTTAGAGTCTATATACTCTGGTTAACGATTAATCGCTTACTAAATTAGTAGATGATTATTTCAGTAATCAATCCTGATTAATCCGATTAATTGTTTCAGCCCTAGTTGGCTAAGTACTCTGATCTAAACAGACTGGATTAATCATGATGTACCAGTCATCCTCTCATTAATATGAGAGTACTGGCCAGTTAAAATGTCAATGTACAGTAGCGGATTAATCCTCAGGAAAAGTATCAAATATCTAAATTTCTACGAAACCTTTTAAAATGTCACAGCGGAGTCTGTTTATTTTCAAGAATGTTAACTGCTCTTATTTTTCCTTGAACATCCAGCTCCTTAACAAAGAAAAAAAACAGAAAAACGTAGGTTGTAGAAAATAGAAAACTTATTTTACTTGACTGCCAGAAAAATGAAAGCTACATTTGTGTCATGAAGGCTAGTTATAACTCAGTAGGGGAGGGAATTAGAGGAAAATGTAAAGTGGCTTGGGGTTTGTTGGCTAACCACAATGACGTACCGATCCCGGGGGAGTCGACCTACAGAGACAACAGCTGTAACCACAACGCCATAATGAGTGTGGGAATCTGTCTCATAATTTCAATTTGACTGATTCTTCTCTAACTTTTTTATTCTGGTATCAGAGCAACAGCCCTGGCTGCTCTGAAGTAGGTTGTTGAACTCCTGCACAACGTAATTCCACTGTGTCAAAGTTAAAACATCAATGAATACAAATAGAATCAACTGTGATTGGTCCATTCATCTCTTCAGATTCAGCTTGAGTTAATAAGTACACATAGGAAAGCAAACTTTGCTTTGTTAGTATTAGCAAAAAAAAGAAAAACCTTTCAATGTGCAACAGATCACAAGTATGTGAAAAGTATGCCAGACATACAGGCTCAGTTAGCTCAACTCAGACTTAAATTTTCTAGTCTTGTGTTGGAATAAACCCAAAAGAACAGTGGAAAATCATAAACAGCTGAAACAGATCTGAGATGATAAAACAGATTCCTCGAACATTTATTGAGCTTTTGGCTGAATTTCACTCCTGCTCTGCTTTCATGATATAGGTTTTTAATCAATTCTTCTTTAAAGAGAAAAAGGTTATCCAGCCTAAAATAAGTCACAAATAACATAAGAGCTGATCAGGATGCCTGTGTGGAGATGTAAGGTGTATTGTCAATGCCAAAGTATTCATTGATGAATCATTGTCTTGTGCTCTACTACACCAATCAGAGGGGCAGGGAGGCACGGTGTGGCATGAACACTTAAAAAAACAAAAACAAAAAAAAACTATCCGTTTTCTGACCTACTAGCATAATAGGTCACTAGGAATGGGCAACCACAGTGTATAAGCTCTAAATACACACACACACACACACACACACACACACACACACACACACACATATATCTTTATATTTTATCTTTATTGATCTCACATTGGAGACATTATTTACCTCTGCATTTACCCCATCCTCTTGGGAAGCAGTGGGCTGCCATTGTGGGGTGCCCAGGGAGCAATCAAGGGATCTTTATCCCTGTCTTGCTCAGTAACCAGAAAAATAACTAAAGAGAATCTAAACTCAGAGAATCAGATGTAGATTCTTCTCCTCTTCCCTCCCAAAAAAACAAAACAAGTGGTAGAGTAGCAAAAGTGATGGGTAGGTAGTCTGGCAGGGCTGATTCAGCACAACGCTAAATCAAACCAAGGAGAATTAATTACAAACAGCGTTATCAATCTGAGCAAAGTGTGTGCAGGGTCCTACTGCTTGAGATTGATTAGGCAGACGATCCATCAAAAACACAGATAGCCATTGTTGGTTTTCTGCTGATCAGCTATAGTACTGCATCACAGATGGAGAGCAGGGTAGGGTGTGGTGCACAGAGGGGATTGGGGTTAACCGGTTAGAAGAGAGGGGGGCCACATGTCATTTGCACACTACTGTGATTTGTTTGTTTGGGAGAGGGAGGGCTCGAGGGGGATTTAGGAGGAGGTGGGAGACAAAGCTAAAAACATAGTAGGGCTTAATGATCAGCTAATCCCTCCCCACCCTGTCTCTACTGTGAGTATATAACACAGTGCAGCCTGCTGCTCTATAATCATTTAAACAGTAAAGGCGACGGAGAAAAGTGTACTGTTAAAAGGAGGGCACAGTAACAGTGAAAGCAACGTTAGAACAGCTACGACACTTCAGGACCGGAGGACAAAAACATGATGAAGCTGTTTTGCCTGTTGCTCCTGTTAGCCGGTTCTATTGCTGCAGTCCATCTGGACACCTCAGACAGGAGTGAGTACCCCACGCTGCCCTCTGCGGTTCTCACCACAGAGGCCAGCCCAACAGAAGCAAAGTCCCGCTTCGCCATGCTGGATGATGTTCGTCTTTTGGCAAATGGTCTCCTCCAACTTGGCCAAAGTTTGCGAGAGTTTGTCCATAAGACAAAAGCCCAAATAAACGACATCTTTCAAAAGCTGAACATTTTCGACCGCTCCTTTTACCAGCTGTCAGTGGTCACTTCAGAAATCAAAGAAGAAGAGGAACAACTCAAGAAGACCACTAACATCTTGAAAGCCAACAATGAAGAGATTAGAAACCTATCTTTGGAAATAAACACTAAGATCAACAACATTCTACAGGAGCGCACACAGCTGCAGAGCAAAGTGGGCAGCTTGGAGGAGAGGCTGAAGGGATTGTCGGAGAGCATGATCCCCCCAGACCAGCTCAGCGAAATCATAACTCTAAAGGTGAGTAGAGAAAATGAAATGTCATGAAATGCCGAATTAAACACATTTTCCTGAAACTGGCATATAATAAACTGTAATCTAATAAATAAGGAATTGTTATGAATTGTGTATTTAACTGTTATTTCAGTAAATTATGGGTACAATGAAACCAGTTTTTCATTGCCGTTTTAGATTTGTCATGCAATTTACAAAATGCAATGGGCAATCTGCAGAGTGTTCCACTGTGTCATTTTTTTGCTTATACCATTTATAGTCAATACCAATAGGTTCTGGTTTATTTGGTACCTAAAATACAGAGAATAAACATGGAAACTTCAGAAAGTGAACACTTAAGAATATTTGAAAATTCCAAAAAGTAGAAACTAAAGCATAAGAATGTGAAAATTATGCATGAACACATTATTTTCCAGGAGGTAATTGAAGCACAAGACAAAACAATTACCAACCTTCTAAAAGCAGTGAAGGAGCAGCATGATCAGCTGGACCATCAGAAAATCAAGATAAAAAATCTTGAGGAAAAGGTATTTGTTGTATATAACGGCGATCTATACACACATTATATTTCAAAAAAGCAATGTAAACAAATTACTCAACAATGGTTTGAAGTGTTAATAATTATTATGTTCATGTTTTCTCTGCAGCTAAGCTTCAATAGCTTTCAGCATACTGTTGAAAAGGCGAAGGATTCAGACCAATCAGTCCCTGACCAGTTTGAATATCTGCAAATAAACTCCACTGGTATGGAAAGAATGATATTTGTTTAAGATGACTCATTATTTTCATTTTGGTTCAATAATGTAAAATCTTATTTTTAGACCTTCCAGTGGATTGTAGTGCATTGTTTACCAGAGGAGAGACAAAGAGTGGAATCTATACGATCAAACCGAACCAATCAGAGCCTTTTTATGTTTACTGTGAAATGAGTTCAGGTAAGTAAGACAGAGCAGTTTTTTGTCTTCTCTTTGTCTCAGTGTTCTGGTCACTTCACTGAAAGCACTGACTTTCCAAAATGTGTGTTTCTTCCAACATTGTCTGTTTTTGGCTCAACAGATCAGGGTTTCACCGTAATCCAGCACAGGACTGACAGTACAGTGGATTTTGATCAAACATGGGAGATGTATGAAAAAGGCTTTGGAGACATGCAGAGTGAGTACTCTTTGGGTGACAACAAATCTGACAGAAATAAACCTCTAAATTTGCTTTCACGGTATACAATATAAATTTGAAAAGGTTGACAGATTCCAAGGAACCAAAATAAAAATTAAATTCTAAAAATGACGGAAAAACGTATTTACTGTGATATATTTGAAGCAAATAAAGTTCCTCTTTTAAAGGATCTTAAGAAAAGTGTGTACTTCTTTCATTGTGTCAGCTAAAACTTTAACTCCTCACGTCCAGTGAGTGGCGCACTCACAAGTGTGACTATTTCGGGCAAAAAGAGACAACAGAACATTATCATGATAAATTGTAAGAAGTGTTAGGAAAGAAGGAGGGAAATGATACAACATCTTAGAAAAGAAAGACTGCCTTTTTAATGTGATACAAATTATTAGAATGCACTAAAGACATAAGTGCTATAAAAAAAGTATGTTTTATTATCTCAGATCAATCAATGTGATTGAGAAGATATGTTATAATTGTGCAGTTTTGATTTTGTTTGGAGTTCATATATGTATTTCTTTACACATATTTTTTTTGTGCGTTTGAACTTTGTTAGTTTCATTAAGACGTAGCCATTTTTGTGGAGGTATGTGCACCATTTTTCTTGTTTACCAACCACCATTAAAATTTCAGTAAAATAAAGAAGTGTCACGTTCTAACTCGCCTGCTCACTTTCTGTACTGTTTGTCAGGTTTGCTAATGTTAAGCAAATATTTAGCACCCTTCTTCAGTTAGAAAGCGGCAATCTCAACATGGCTTCCAAGTGACATTGCTTCAACCAAAGTTCAAAAGCCTAGCAGATGATAACCCATTTTGCCTCTTTTTATTTATTTATTTGTTTTGTATATATCTGAGAAAAATAAAAACAAAAAGAATCTATTTCTCAGCTCTGTCAGGTAGCCACTATGATTAGAAATACCTGAGCTTTGCTTCAAATACTGTTGCAGAATCATTTCGCATCTACATTGACATCATAACCAGGTGTTAATATTTCTATGTTTTGGACCTGTCAAATTTGCAAAACCATTATTCATAAACTATAATGTGTTTCTGTAGATATAATACTTTTATTCAGAACCTTTGTAGGTGTTTTGTAGGTGTAATATGTTTTTAAAGTTGTTTTGATAAAAAAAAATGGTAGCTATGATTACAGAAAAACAGCAATATCATCATTGTTAACTTCCTGTAGGGTCTAGGCTATCTGATTTGTTTTGTGGTTCTCTTTGTGGCATTCATCCAGTGTTTCAAAGCAATTTCTATTTCAGAATAACTAAACAGGATACATTTGTTGACTGCTTTTCCCACAGAGGACTTCTGGCTGGGTCTAAAGAAAATACACACCATCAGCCAGCTGGGAAATTATATCCTCCGAATTGATGTGGAGGACTGGAAGGAGGAAAAACACTGGGCCGAATACAGCTTTTCACTGGAAGGTCCTTCTGAGGACTACACCCTTCATGTCAGCCACGTGGAAGGTGACCTACCTGATGCAATGACCAACCTGACTGGCTCGAGATTCTCCACAAAAGACAAGAGCAATGACGGCATCTGCAGCACTGACTGTGCACGCAATTGTACAGGTAATGTATTTCCATCCTAACTCTTGAAAACTATCAAAAGCATTGCATGAAGAAACAGCAGAGTTTGTCTTAACACAAATGCTGTTGAATGCATTTGCAGGTGGATGGTGGCTGAGTGCATGCAGCGAAACCAACCTAAATGGAAAGTATTTCTCTTTGAGGGCAAAAGGACGGTCTGTGAGAAGGAGGGGTATTCAGTGGCGGCCTGGATCCGGGCCTTTATATTCTCTCAAGATGAGCAAAATCAGCTTACGGCCTTTTCTAGCAACAGATGACGTAAACTAACCTCCCATCCCTCACATTTTCATACTCTTTCACTGTTCTAGGTCCTGACATAAATACCAAGATTCAAATATACAACAGAAAAAGCAATAAGATTGTTTTTATTTTTACTCAAAACAGAATATTGTTGCCCTATTAAACTTTTGCATGATGATATGTCATAAGTCGGACTTACAGATGTGATGCAATTGGTGCAATCATGACATGTAGGTTGTTAACCTATTGGATCTGATTCACCAAGGACACTAGAACAGTTATTACACAACATCTGCAATCAGTGGACCTATTGATTCCCATTGCAGCCTGATTCTATACCAGATAGCAGAAGGCTACATTGGGATGAACACTTCTGAATGAATTACAACTTTAAAACTCAAACCATAAAATCAAAATGTAGATTAACTGAAACGATTGAAGTGTATTTCATTTTTGTGGTGTGAAACTGTATTGCATGTTGTTAGAGGTAATAGAGAGAATTATCAGTCTTTTCACATAATGCTTGCAGCTAATTACATCTAAGCTTGAATATAAATGTTATTTACAATGCTTACTCCTTTAGTTTTCTTTACAGGTAGAGCTTGTAGATTTTTTTTATTCCTTTTTTTTTTTACCACCACAACCTCTGATTTCAAACCGGCTTCACAGGCATGGTAAAGTTTCATCAGCGATCTAATGATAATTCAAACTTTGTTAGTGCACTGATTATCTTCATCGATGTCTGGTCAGTTTTTTTTTATTATTCTGTATAGTATTTAAGCCATGTTCATGCTATAATGATTAATGCTGGCATTGTTAGATAACATTGGGTGTTTGTGTCTCCACTGTTATTGAGTCATATTGACTTTTGTCTTTGGTGCAGCACAAATTTCTGTTTATTTAAATGTGTGTCATACTAACTGTCATCCTGGCAAAACTCTTTGTATGCTATCCAGTAATACTGTATTTATGAAAAAAATTAATAAATAAAATCAGGTTGTTAAAATACAAAATATTGCATTGATTTCAGTATTGAAACAAGCACACAAGAAAAAAAAACAAAAAAAAAAACAAGAATATAAGGTAAATATAGACTCATAATATTGTATTTTAATCATTCAATGGTTTAAACTATTGATTACAGTGTATAACTGCATACAAATTAAATGTGCATTTTTGCTGAGAGTTATGCAATGTCTCTGGATTGAAATATAGTGATTAATCTGCAAACAAAAATCTGCTGTTTTTTTCCTACCTGGACCTAGTAAGAATTAAGCTCCAGACCAAATGAGCTCTAAAACTTGTGGTGTTATAAAAGGAGCTACTTTTTTTGAGGATCAACTTGTCAAAAACTCAAAACAGTGTTAAAATCATTGCTACATCTTTTAAAAATCACAGTAAATCAGCAATGCTTTTTTTTTGTTTTTACACATACGTCAACCATTTTTTGCAGAATTTTGATCATTAAAAACAGTTTGAACAATTTCAGTGGATTTGATGCATATTTTTTTCGTCCAAAAAAAGCTCTAAATATATGTGGATCAATGAACTATGATCATTCTCCACTGGATTGTGACCTAATTACCTGCAAATCAACAATGCTTCTGTGGGCTGCTGCCGGGCAACATTTATTTTACCGAGTCACCTTGACAAAATAAGTCCTTATTCAGGTTAACAACGTGCATGAAGCAAACAAATCGAAACGCTGTCACTGTGCATGTTCCTCCATCAAACAAGTTTGAGGAAAAAACAATTACCATCTGTATTTTCAACCACTTCTAACAATTTAAAAGAAAGAAGTTGAACCACTTAATAGTGTCTCATTTGAGATAAAGTCATAGAATGAGAGCAGATTTAAATACCCTCCTGAATCTCATGAGAAAAGTATATCAAAATAAAAACTGTGAGACTATTTTTCTGTACCTGTATGTGGTGTTTGGCACATAGACATCCCTGGCAGGAAATTCCAGGATTTCTCTGGTGGGGCGCACCCTGCTGTCTGGGTAAGGTTTAACCTGAAGAAGGTCAGGAGTCAGACAATAATGGGGGTTCTCTGGAGCTGGAGAGATGTCCAACTTCAGCTGGGCTATGATGGTGTAAGGTGGGAAAGAAAAAAGAAAAGAAATAAAAATAAAACAGCTTTTTTTTTTTTTTTTCATCACTCAGCATTAAAGAGGTTAATCATTCAAGTGTCATAAGAACCTGTGATGGGTCTGAGTCTCCTCAGCACTGAAGAAGGTCTTCTCATGTCAGCCAGAAACTTAAACAAATCTTCATCACTGAGCCTATCCCCTTCCTATCATGACCAGAAACAGATGCATTTAAACCAAAAAAAATAAAAAAATAAAATGTAAATAACTGGAACACCACAATAAAAGCATGTACCTGTTTAAAGAAGTTGGTAATGGTAAGGGTTGCCGGCCTAAATCCTGTCAGACTGCATGATTCATCTCCGCTGGTGGTCCTCTCTAAGGAACGCCTTCCCATGATGCTTGAGTTCCTCCGTTCTGACCACGAACCTTTTCGCTCTTTAAACAGTCAACAACAAAAATAAAATTAAAAATTACATATTTTCTAAACTTTGCCATGTCTAATCTGCCTAGCAAAAAAAACCCAGTAAGCAGCTTCAAAGGAACAAGGAACCAGACCAAAGGCTAAACAAACAACTCAAAGTGAAATTCCGGAGATCCATACACGTGCATGCTTTGTTTGTAGGCTTTTTTGAATGATTTTTTTTTTTCTTTTTTTTGTTGGAAATGTTTAAGATTAAGGTTTTATTGGCTGAACATGTATTGACAGGTCCAAGAGGTCCATGTATCCCTGCCAGCTCTAGGGACGCTCTCTGTACCCAGATAAGTACATGCAATCAATGTTTTAGTTAACTTGCCAAATATAAGGTCTATGTTTCAATTTATGTAAATGTTTAAAGGAAGGTCAGACCTGATAAGCTCATCTCCAACTCCGTGTCTCTCTCCAGGCTGCCAGCACTGTTTACGATGTTCATCAGGTGGATGGCAGTCCAAGCAAAAGGCATCCTGTAGCGGCCCAGACGCTGACAGAATTGTTCCGACTGACTTCGAAGCTTCTCCAACTTCTCTTTGTTCTGTGGAAAATGAGGATCAAATTAAACAGAGTTGATATTTATCAACTATAGAACCATAGATGTGTCCCTTCAGACACATCACTTTAGCATTTATAACTGAAGTCAGCCTTTATTTGCATCTTCTGATTAAATATCTTTTTTTTTCTCCTGTTCTCTCCCAGCATTGACATTGAAAAACTTCTTACAAAATACACATTATTTGGCACACTTTTATTAAAGCTCTAATTTTTTTTTTACAGAATCTGAAAAGACATTTCTCCTATTTATCATTTTAAAAAGTGTATTACTGTATGCATTGATTATATAGGTACCAGAACAAAACTCCCAGAAATAGTAACCTGTTCAAACAAATGAATTATCTAAACTGTACACCCTCAGATATTAACCTTATAAGAATTAACTAGAGATGAAATAGCATATTTTTAAGATTCAAGTCCCGCTGATCATACCTTTGCAGTATCCGATTCCTTGAAGACCATGTAAGGCTCAGCACATTCTCCAATGTCACCCTGCTGTAGTACCTTTTCCAGCTGTTAATAAAAACAGTGATGTTAGTACCCAAGTTAACAAGCAACAAAATAATTTTTTGTTTTTTTTCTTCTAACATGGCCCATCTTTTAATACTAAATATGTACCTTTTAAAATTACACTGTGATTTCAATGTAAAGCAGGACACGATATAATGCAAATTTAAACCACCAATTTTTCTGTGAGAAATTTCAGACAAATGCATTGGCACGCCTGGTAAAGGCTTAGTGGAAAAAACTTGAACCTAAATTATGCTTTAAAGAAGGAGCAAAAACCCAAACTGAACAGTTTAGATAAAATGTCTCCTTTTTAGGGCAATCATGCAGCCTCTGGGAGAAAATGCTACAAGCCTGCTTTAGCTCTTTGTGGAACCTAATACAAAAATAAAAAACATAAAATAAATAATAATGGAAATAAATATAATTTTCACTTCTATATTTTTTTTTCTGACAATATATTCACTAAGGCAATAAGTGAACTAAAGTCAACTTGGCGATTAAAGCAACTTCAGATTCTGCTGACATCCACATTTCTTAACCATTCCTTCTGAAAATGTCCCTTGATGGGGCAAAGTTTTGCTGTTTTTCTAGGTTTTAGATCTGGTAACTAAGATGGCCATGGTAGAATGTAGATTTCAAGTCTGGAAAAAAAAAATCCTTCTTTAGGTTTCTTTACTTTCTGAACTACCCAGCTTTCCTGTGAAGAATCATAAGACTTTTACTCAAAATCTCCAAACTGTATATCTTTACGAGCCCAGGATGTCATGAAATCTAAGATGCCAGAGCCTTTAAAAGCATAAACGGCCCACAGCACCAGAGACTACATAAAATTCAAAAGTAGCATTACATATTCACCCTTTCTTTTATCCCTGTCCATCTGTTTAGCACGCCACCTGCTTGTAGTCCTGATGTCAGAACAATGAAGGAGAGGGATCCCTCTCAAACAGACAGATCTCTAGTATATATTTACAAATGGCTATTACAGAGCTTTGATGACCCCACAAATGCTGAATTTTATAATCCTCAGAATAAACTTTTTCTGCGATCATAACAAACATGTATTTCTAAAGCTTTTTACAAGAATGGCTATCAATCTGTCCACAAACAGTGCAGCATTCTTAGTTATGCCAAACTACCACATTTCTTCAGTTCGTTTGATACAAAACTACATCCAGATGCATAAAAATCTATTATCAAATATATATTTTGAGTTATATTATGACCTCAAACTAAGATCTTGTGGTATTTTGAAAACATTGTGTACCACGTGTGTTAAGACCAACCTAACATAGTTGTTTTTTTACCTTGATTACTAGGAAGATATCCTGGGAGGGGTAGGTGATGGAGAAAATGGCAGAGCGTGCCAGAGTGGAGATGGCTGCTGTTTGAATGTGCGGACGTAACATTCCTTTCATCTGCTCTGAATTTAAGTCGAAGAAAAAGTTTTCGGAAATCTGAAGGAAACAGAAAATAGACATCTAAGTCAGCATCATTTGATTATATCAGACAAAAATGCATTCACATGGCATCAAAACCCCTACTATAAACACAAAATTGTCCCTTTTTCTTAGAGTAACTGCAACTTGATTTCTTGCGAACAGTTGCTGACAAACACGGTAACGTTTTTTAGAGAAAGATGAGCCTCCAGATAATCAATGGAGCCCAGAAGGAAGGAAAGATATATGAGAAAGAGAGCTGCATCTCAAGGCCACTGCTACCCTCTAGTGTTTGTTACTGTAGGCAACATAATTCCAGGGTATGATTTCACCACTGTAGATTCTTGAAACTATAACAGAACACAGCAGAAAATTTTACAGTCCACTCATCAGATTTCTTTTAGCCACCGAACAATTTTAATGGTTTCCAGAAGTGACCACACAACTCAGGGCCGAGAAAGGAAATGAGGAAAGCATAACAGCTTACCTTTCTTTTTTCCTTGACATCGTATAAGGCCAGACTAGCAAATATGGGCTCAATTTCTATCTCAAACCTTCAAAAGGGGAGAGTAAAAACAAGTGAGTCAGCAAATAGGAGCAGTTAAATACAACTATAGAGCTTTTCTTTTTTCCTGAAAAAGCTTCTCCACCACTTACTTCAAGGACAAGCACTTGACGAGTAGCCTTTGGCCAAAGTGCTCTTTGGGTACTTCAGGCACACAGTGGCGCTCAATAGGCTCCTCCTACACATTCACATCAACAGGCAAAGACAAAAAATCATTTACTGACATTCAGCAGCCATTTGAAGAACAAAAAATATAAAAACACAGATTTTACTTTGGATTGTCTCAATCCCTTTTGAGGTGACAAATGGGACTAAGAGACTTATGCTACGTTCACACCACACAGCGCTTTTGGCAGCAAAAATGCCCCTGCTGCCTAATTTTCAAGCTTGTACACATTAAGGTCAGACGCACCTACAGAGCATATTTGATGCTACTGAAGCGCATCCAGTAAAGTGTGTCCAGATGTGTCTGATGCTTCTGCTGCTCCTGTGTTCAATGGCAGAGAGCGACTTTGCTATATTTGCCATGATCAGTGGGTAAAAAGTAATGTTAATATATTTTTAAGCGAGAAAGTCCACCTAAAAACATTGCCTGTGCAGTCAGTTCATCAAGATTACGATCCTGCCTTTAAATATTATTTCGCTGTCAGAGCCGCTCAGATTTGTGTATACCGGCAGTGTGTTGTCACTGGGAATCCAGGAGTAGCTGGGGGTTTCCACAACTGTTTGTGCAGCTGGAGGTAGATGTTTGCGTTTTCCAAGTATGTGGTACAAACTGCAAGCACCAGAATAATAAAAGCATATTTTGCTGGAAGTTTTTTCGACATTTAAAGTTAATTTAGGCTGTAAATAACCATAACCTTTTTCTTTTTGCAACAAATGGAGTTGAGTTTTGTTTAATTGGTTTTCTACACATTTTTTCTATCACAATGTCAACAACTTCCGGTTTGAGCTAAGTGCTTTTATTTTGTTAAGCTTTTGTGCTTCCGGTCCCGCACAACGTAGTGTCAGTTAGCTTGTTCTCTCATAAGTACGGCATTAAGTTAAACACGGACCTACGGTATCGCAAAATATAGTCCTGGCAGCCCCTCCGAAGAGGCAAAAGCTCTTATGGTGGTTATATGTGGATTTAAAGACTACAGTTTATGGAAAATGACTCTAAAGGAATTAAAATCCATAAAACCCATCAGTAAAGTCTCATCCTAGATTGAGGGCGGCATGCTACATAGGCATTAATAACTTTTTAAGATGAGTTATCATAGCACTCTGCATCAGCAGTGCTCTTTCTGTCTCCCTGCCAGCTCCCAGATCAAGTAAATTTTTTTAAACTCCAGGAATTGCTGCTTGTGAAGTACGTCACGTGACTCAGATGCTCAGAAGCTCATGAGATGCTGCTCTAGACGCACTGCAGGACCTTTTGATCCGCCTTGATGTGTGTCAACCATTGACTTTGCTTGTAAACCAGCTGCTTATGCTGCTTCTATCACATGCTGTGTGAACGTAGCATAAAGGTAAACGTAAGAACCAGAAACCTTTATGTTGTTACCTCATCCAGAGCAGGGTGTAAAGCAAATAGCTCCCGATGGCGGTTGGCCTTGCGCTGGTCCTCATTGTGCCGATCAATCTCCTCATTGGGAGCCCGGTCAAGGAGGTGTGGGAGCAGAGCATCAGGGAGGGAATTCTTCAAGTCAAAGATGCTGCATGCCCAGCTGCCACGTGGCGTGTCATCTATAGACATCGATCGCCGCTTCAGATCATCCTAAAAAAAACAACCATTGGAAAAAATTTTCACATCGACAAACCACAATTGAGGGAACAACTACAAATGAAATCTGCATCTCTAATTGTCACTTAAAAATCTGATAATTTAAATTATTTCCAACTGAAAACATGGAACAGCTTTAGGAAACAAAAGCAGGTAAACATAAAAAAAAACTAATTCAAGGACAGCTTAAAAAGTTAATTGCAATTGCAAAGTTAATTGCATCTTAGAGTTTTAAAGATAAAGGGTAGCTATAGAGCTGTACCTGGTCATCCTGATAGCTGCCGCTGTCTGGCATCTCATCAGCCTCAAACACTTGTTTTGGCAAACCTCTCTGACGCTCCTTCTGTTTGTCCAGAGTGTTGGGGTTAAAGCCTGTGCCTAGTTTATGATATCTAGGAGAGGAAACAGCCATTTTCATACGGTAAACCTCCACCATATCTTGCGAATAAACAGCTCAAATGTATTAAGGGAAGTCTTACTTCCTATTAACAATGGCCCAGTCTTCTGTGTATGATCTGACACAGTCTCTGACATGAGTGTCAGTGTCCCTGCAAACAGACCAAACATTATGTCAGTATCAGAGTTAAATATTCAATGTAGGGCTGAAACAATCAGATTAACCACGATGAAGCAATTATTGAAATAATCTTCAAGTAATTTAGAAAAATTTCATTTCACTTGGTTTGATTCTGTTAAAAGTCTTCTTTAAGGAACGTTTTACTATCCGATTATTAATCGATTATTCGGGGGGAAAAAAGCAACAACTTAATCGATTAGCAAAATAATTGTTAGTTGCAGCCCTCATTTAATGCATAAACCCCAAACAAATCTAAAGATGACAGAACCTTTTATGACATGTTTTCATGCGTTGTCAATCTAGAATAGGTATTTACTCCACTTAATTCCCTTAGAAAGTATAATAAAATACTGCAGCATTTTCTACTGACAATGTGCAATATTGCAACAACAAAACACTAATATCTTTGAAAGACATAGTGCATTTAAGCACTGCATGGTAAAAATATGGATGCACCATTTAGACTTTAACTGATCTATTTGTATACATTTAAAATGGCTTTTAGTGATGCTAAAGCTAGCAGGCAGGTGGCAACATCCTGAGCATGGAAGAAGCATGAAACGTTATTGTTGCAAAAACCTTCCAGGAACTTAAAACCTGAAAACATTTTTTTTATCTCGAGCACAGATAGACAGCTGCATAGATAAGCCATTATAACAGAATATATGCTGGTAGTGTTAGCGAGCATTTGACTGCTAATGTGTTTCTACATAATCAGGATTTTATCAAAGAGAAACGCAAACCTCAGAGTTGGTCAAGGTTGCTGCAATTGAAAAGATCATTTTAAGATGTAATTTCAAGCTTTTTTTAGGACTCTGGCAAATTACAGGAGAACCAGCCTTATAAGGAATTTGACCAATAAAAAGTAGTTCATCTAATAAAATTTTCAATTTAGATGTGTATAAATAGGCTGAAGCAAATTCAAATGTCACAATTATTTTGTGACTTCACAGACCATGGCGCAATTTATTATTTTCTTTCCTATACATGCCCTCACAGCTGACTGACAAGTAAAACTAGCTTTTCTCTATTTATGCTCTATTATTCAGTTCATGAGAAATTTTGAGCGTGTAGATGTGGCGTGCTGCGCTCTCAGTCACATAACTACTTTCTAGAGTTTCCACCACAGCAGGAGAAAAGAGGTTACGGTTGATGAACACTGATTACATAAGATCAGGCAAAAATTGACCTCAAACCCTTTTACAGACTTTACATAACAGTTAGTAAATCAAATTTTTGTCTAGTGAGACAAAAAGGGTCAAATTAGAGTCTGATTAGCGAAAGAAAAAAAATGATAATAAATATTGTAGAAGCTTTTTAACAGGAGAAAGCTCACTTCTGCCTTGGAAATTGTGCCTTTTTTCCTAGAAAAGTTCAAGCGCTCCATTTAAGATGACACCTTTGCAGCGGTAAACTGTGCTGCTTTTTCTCTTCTCCCATTTTGTGCCTATCAGTTGTGTCAGTTTTAACTTACCATCAGAGGGAGGAAACATCTGCAATATTTCTGGAATTTGCATTACGCTCCTTTATGGTAAAAGGTCTGTACTTATGTTGTGGTTTTCAAATCACTAAACTAATATCAAATGAGCCAAGCGCTCCAATCGCTATTGACACTGAATGTTTTTGGGAACTATCTTGGAGAAGAGCTTTAATATTGGATGAAAATGTATTTAAGATTAAAGAAATAAAATTACAGTTTAAATATTATTTTCATAAATGTCAAAATACAAACTTTCATTTGTATCTAATAGATGTAGAGTATATTAAAGTAACATGTGCTGTAAGCGTAAAAAAACATAGATTTTCAACAAAAAAAGGATGATTTTAATAAAATTAAAGCATGCTCTATCAGTTAAGTATAACACTTTCAAAAAATGAAATGCTATTAAAAAGAGTCGCCAATCAAGAACAGACAAGTTTGGACTAATGATGCTAAAAGTTGTTATCAGCAAATCATAGAATTTCAGATTTAAAAAAAAATCTATAAATATTATTTAAAAAAAATCAAATTATGGGATTTCTCTATCACTTTTTTGATCAGATCCACCTTGAATAAAATTAACATTAACATGACGGTTTAACTCAATAAGTGTTTCTGAAATGGGTTTTAATTTACCCTTCTTCTGGGACAGCCGGCACAACGGTGCGACATTCCCTGGGTGTGTAGATGACCTCGATGTCATCAGGGGGAAACTCAATTAGATCTCTGAGGGGACCTGACTCCACGATGGGAGGGTGTGTGATGAGATACTCTTCAAAGTCCACTGGCTCTACTGCCTCTGTAAGGGGAACCTGTTGGATAGAGAGAATTAGCCATAATAGTCAAGTTTAGTAGGGAGAAAGGAGCTAAAGTAAAAGTACTTTTAGCTTATAGATTAGCTAGCTCCACTATTATGTCTGGGGTAGGCAATGAAAGGACAGAGCAAAACTTTCAGCATGTAACAGGAAGGCTAAACAGAGCAAATCTAAAGAGCATTGTTGTACAAAGTGTAACTTTAACTTCTTTCTAATATGGAAAATATTCACAGCACTTTCAGCATTTCAGAATCAATGTCAGATTCTACCTTCTTAGGGAATATGCTCATAGACTCAACTTTTAAAAATGTTAGCTACAGTAACGATACTCATGAAAAATGTCGAGCATGAAGTCATTTTGGCTTTTACTAATAAGATTTTTTTTCAATATCTACTCGTTTTCACAAACAAAGCAAAACATTACAACTGCTTCTATTACAAAGTAAAGATTACTGCCCATTATTGAAGGTGAGGAAGCAGTAATTAAGAAAGTAGCCATTAAAAAGATAGAAGAATTGGCTATATATAGTAAATGCAGGTCAAAATTAACGCAGGTATATCTAATATAAGTAAAAAGATGATAAATGTTCAACCATAGGTAGAGGGTAGAAAGTTTATGTGCAATAATCTCTCACAAAAATCCTATCTTTTTATTTTATGGTTGTAAAGCCAATAGTAACCTGAAGCCCCTTTCACACTTAGAACCTCACACCGAAATTTACCAGCTCAATACCTAGCACTATACGTTAATCAGTAGTAGTGATGTGTTGCCTAGCAACAGTCCTGCTTCATGCTACATGTTGTTAACCTCTACAACAACAGCATCACTAACAAACTGGCTTGCAATATTTTATCAAGTATCTTTAGGAAACAAGAAGGCTAATTTTAAACATAGCTGAAAAGTGATCCAAAAAAAAAAAAAAAAAAAAGCAAATAAACAAACTCCTCTCTGTCTATGTGGAGATTAGAAATAGTTCACCAGGATAACCGCTGCTCTTCAGGACTGATAAATATACTGAGCAAAATATTTATTCATCAATATACCTAAAAGTCTACAGAGGAAGTACTGTTGGGTAAATGACCACCACAGGAGGAGTGGGAGAGGTCAATCTAGCTAACCTCATGTCAGTCAATCTTCAGGAGTTTTCATAACTCTACTAACAGTAAGAACCACCTACCACAAAGTGATCGCTTGTTATTGCTAATCAGCTGTTTGAAAGATGTAATTTCAAGCAGAAAATCTTCTTTAGAGGTTGGTTTGATCAATTAAAGCTATATCCCTTTCACCTGCAGGTGATATTGGGTACATCCATTCCACCGTTACTGGGTTAAGTCTGGACAGAGCTGACCCGGTAATTTACTGGGAATACTTGGAATGTGTGAAAGGTGCCGATTCCTGTTAGCCCCAGGAATGTGTGACGTTGTTGCCAATTAGCACAAGAATTTCAACAAATAGGCTGTCAGAGCAGAGTAAAATAGCATCAAAGTTACTGTACCTGCAAAGTCATTCAAGGATCCCTCCTAATCAAGTCTGGCCGATTAAAAAATATCTTTTATATAATCACATATGTCAAAGAAAATGACCATTCACACTACATTTAATCTACCGTTTGAGCAGAAAGTGAAGCAGCTGGGGACAAACTGTGGACTTGATTCCCTGTGAGCTGGGTGGAAACAGCATCAGACTACTCACTGTGTTGCTTGTTGTTGTCCCAACATTAAGGTTTTTGAAGAGTTGAGGGGACCCTCCATACTGACCAGCTATCTGCTTCCTGACCTCTGCTGCCACAGTCCTGGAAAGAAGAAGAGGGTTAAGATGGTTGACAACAAAAACATGCATTTATGATTACTAAACTCAAAGCTCTATGCTTGACTTTAATAATTAATATCCAATAACAGCTCAGGGTGGTACTGGATATTATTCATTAGTATATGTGTTTTGTTATAATCCAATACAATACAACTGGTTTATCAACAAATAAAGGTGGGATCAGGTTTTGGTAATATTTAGTGATAATACTTATGAAGGATCTTCATAACCAAAAAACCCAAAATAAAAATGAGCACCATGTATTCCCCCAAAAAATCCAACTAAGGTGTTTTTCTTTATATTTCAAACTGCATTTAGAGTTTATGCAGTATTAACGCCACAAAGGACTGTTCTGAATGGGACAGTTTTATTGCCATTATAATGGAGATGTCAATGTAACCACACTTTCCATCGGTCTAGAAGAAAGCTACGTATTAACCACACCATGATACTTATCTGTGCTTTAGGCTTTTAAAGTGCCCTTTTTAAAAACAGTTTCTAGCAGCCTGTGTTGACACTAATCCAAAAGGGAAATGGAAAGACACAGACTGAGAAATAAATGCTGCAAAGGACCCAAATTTAGGAATCCAAGCTAAGACAGCTCCACAAAAGGGACGCCTACTCTCTCTCTACACCTTGCTCCAGCTAATGACCTTTGGAAGCAACACAAAGACTGAACAGAGAACAGGAAACCATCTATGTTTTATCTTTTTTTTTTGGCTTTCAAACTCTGTCATAAAGCAGTGGTGGCTCAAGAAATCCTGACAGTCTAGGAAATCTCCCTGTTAAGGTAAGGAGTCTAAATTCCCCCGATCTAAACAAAGAACCGGCTGTTTCATGCTAACTATGCCAACTGCACTTATTGCTAAGATAACAAATGAAAGACGGTTTACATAAGCAGGAATATGCGCTGAAGGCTAAAAGCAGAAACTTCCTAAACACATCATGCTTTGTACAACTCTAACATGTATCGAAATGATTGTTTAGAATAATTTTGTTCCTAAGATTTAAAACTGTAAAAACGAGTTGTGTGTGCTTGATTTATTTTGACATAGTTTAGGGCAAAATACATTTATTGAGATAAAATAATATAACATGAACTGACTGTGTTATCTTATACCAATAGATTTTCTACACGTTTTGGTTTAAGTATTACCTTAGCAAAGTTACAAGCCTGTGGCTGTTATATTACAGGCCACCAGAGCAAATTAAGGATTATATCATAGCTCTATTTCTTTGAGGTTTTCTCTTCTGTCTGATTTTTCAGCATGATGCTCCCAACATAATCATATAGTAAACAGCTAGGTAATTCACAAAGAGTTTGTGCTGTTCAACAGCTGCTGCTGCTTCAAACTGGTCCTTTTAAATAAAGGTAACCATCAAACACACCGAGATTTTTACCATAAACAAGATAACATCACAAGCTTCCCAAAATGTCAAAAACAAATTATAAATACAGGCAAGGGATAACAATATTCTTCACACAAGAATAACCTGGATTTGTCCATTGATCTGTTTCATACATAAGGCCCAGCAGTTTCTATTCTAACGGAAATATCCCAGAACAAAATGAAGTGTTCTTTAAACCTTTTGCTCCAATTAGTGAAAACTTGGGACTCAAAATCCAGATTTAACACAGAAGATCACAGAAAATGAGCGCCATGTTGCAACATGGCGGTCTAGCAGGACTTTGATGATGTTCTGTAGCTGAGATCCGGTGGCCTATGCAGTAAAGTGCTGTCAGAGCTAAAGAAAAGCAGAACGGACAAACACATTCCGTAGTCCTCCCCTTTTGGCCCTGCTCACTGCACACAGGGGACCAAGTTTATTCGGTAAACACTGCGTTTGTGGCCTCAGACTTTACCAACACCTAGAAATAGAGTATGAACTCACTGTAAATGAGGGTCACAAAACAAGACATTCAACAGCTTTCAACTTCAACGAAGTGCATAGTTTGCTTCTTAGCAACACGTTATCAAACTTTTATAAAAGCATCAACATGCCTTTGGCAGACGATCTGTTTTTCCTCCAGAGATAAACAAGTCCGCCTCTTTAAACTGTCTTCACTTATCTTAAACCGTTAAAAAGGTAAACAAAGGTTTTTATACCAGCTTTAATCAATAAATTCAGACACATTTGTTCAATCTGATGCATAATATCCAACGACTAGTTTTTATTGTTGTTGTTTTTATTTCTATTATAAAGCTGGATATGTTTGGTACAGAAAATATGATTCCAATCTTAATCCTGTTTACATTCAGACAAGTTTTGTCTTGCTTTATCTGGAAAATGACATGCAATGACAAAGGACAAGAAACTAAAGGGGGAAAAACAGGTATAAACTCAGTTGGTAGACATTACATCAGAGGGTTTTAGTTACATGAAAAAAGAAACACCTGCATGCTGATCTACAATGGATCTACACTGAAAAGTGTTCATACTCCCTAACGCAACTTACTATGCTAGAACCACAAATCTCAACATATTTTGGGGAATTTATGTAAAAGATCAACATAGAGTAGAATATAAATGTGAGGTTGAAGGAAATATAATTGGCTTCTAAAGTTGTTTTATACAATTTAAAAAAGATGTAAAAATGTAACATATTTTGGTTTCAGCCTCTTTTTTTCTCAAATACCCCTAAATACCACATTTACCCACCCAAGAAGATAATATTAGACAAAAAATAAAGACAATTCAGGCATCCTATGCAGCACACAGACTATCCAACTATTGCCCAACACATCCCGTTACACTCATATAACACAGCGATCGGGATCAGCTCTGGCACCGCTACAAATCCAGCTTACTTCATGCACCTATAACACAAATAAACATTTTTTCCATATTGTAGGATTGACTATTGAACCTTGGAGGTAGCCTGGTAATATCCTGCAGGATCAGGCTGGAGGTGAGCGGCTGATTCTGCTGTTCTGTAACCTAAACTGTTACAGAAAGGTTTTTGATTATAACATTTTATAGCTTAAATAAAACATGCCACACAGGCAGCAGTCTATAAATAGAAACATGTATGGAAATCCAAACGTACCACGTATTAAATACATTAAAAACTGACATTTCTCAACCCGAATACAAATCCAACAAAAACAACTACCTCCAGAGGTCATATATCCAGTCAAGTGTTATTACTGTGTAATTAAATCTGACCATATCTACTAATGTTCCACGAAAGCCTAAGAGCTGGGTGAACATCCTTTAACAAGGTGAACCTGGAAGACCAAGGCATACAAAAGCCAGTTCCAGTCTAAAATTAAAGAGCAGAAAGCAATCCCAAACTTCTTTTCAAGGGACCTTAATCAAAACCAAACAAAACGCTCATGGTAACAGGAAGAGCAGCAGAGATCCACAGGTTGTGTAAAAATATTGTTGGTTTAACTACTGGACATGAGATGCAGAAATGTCCTTGCATGGCAGAGTAGCATAAAGCAAACCCTAAGAAGTCTTCTTTAAAATGTACAAGAAGCTATGTAGCTGACAAAGGAAACATGTAAAACAAGGTGCAAATCTGATTGTTTGAGCTTTTTACCAAATGTTATGGCTGGAGGAAAACTAATACTGCACTTTTGTCAACCCCACGATTTCCACCGTGTCGTATGGTGGTGGAAGAATTATGCTGTGGGGATCATTTTCCTCAGCAAGGACAAGGAAGCTGGTAAAATGGGAAGATGGTTAAACCGAAATGCAGGGGGAAACAGGAGAAATATATGTTAGAGGCTTCTTATAAAGACTTAAAAATATTGATGAACTTTATTGATCTTACAGTGGAGAAATTTATTCCAAAGAAGTCCCCCTTGAACAATACCAGCCTACTGCTATACAGGCTTAAACACAGTCAGAGCTACAATGACACGGTTGTAACAAAGCCCACCCATATGTTAAGATGACCTAGTCCCAGCTGTAAATCAGCTAAAGTTGTGTCAAGAGTTTCAGATTGCTTTTCACAGGCACATTGATCCAACCTGTCAAAGCCTGAGGGATTTGCAAAAAAATATAAAGATGTTAGCAAGTCAGTGACAATAAAAAAAATTTTGAGGGTTAGATGTCATGATGATTTATGTCTCTGTTTATCCAAAAAATGTTCATTTTCTGTGTTTTGTAACCTTTCCCAACAGATATGGTTAAAACCTTTGCAATATATAGTTAAGGTTCAACAAATAAAATTAATATGTAAAAATTATTATAATTAAATTATTTTTTTAATTACTCAGCATGTATTATTAAAATATAATTAGATGTATTATGTCTATAACTAAAATAAAATTTTGACCACTGGATACTATCACAAAAAAAATAGTAATTTTAACCAATAATGTTGTGGTAATAGTTTTTTTTTTATTAATCTGTTATTAACAAATTAATAACAATTACTGACAGATTTACCTTACCTATAATGCTAATATATAATTAATATACTAACACAAAATACAACTGATCGTATTTGATTGTTTTTAAATACTAAGAATGATCACAAACGGAGATCCAGCTCAATTTTCAGACAAGATGAAATGGTGGCATTTGACAGCTTGCACAAAGCCCTTTGTTAAGGAGATTACATTGATCTGTCTGAGGAGCGAAGAGCAGATTATCCCAATGCTCGGCTGCTCTTCAGAAAGCCATTTATGTCAAATCAAAGTCACACGTTTGAGATCTACAGTCTACAGCTCTACAAAGTTCAGCCTCATCTCTGAGTGTCAGCATTACAGTAGCTTCCCATCGTTAGCTACTGTACACCACAGAGCTAACTACCCACAACTAACGGTTCATTTTAGTTCAAAGCTTTTTGAGGTTACGACAGCGATAGCATACAATTTTCTGTGCAAGAATATATCCGTACATGCGTATTTTATTAGCATTCACTATAATATTAAAAGTTGTAGCTAGCGGCGTTGCCGTGTGTCTGTCTGTCTGGGTGGGTCTGAGCATCTTCTGCCGCTGCAGCTAACGAGCGGTTAGCTCGGAGGAGCCAGGCTCGCTGGGCCTCCTTTAGCAGGGTTTCCCCGCAGCGGTGGTCTGAGGGAGACCCATATGGAAGCGGAAAAACGAGGGCGTTCATTTAAAGAGCTGAAATTAGACTGTATGGTATTTTTTACCTGCTGATTTTTTGGGCGAATGCGCGGCGTTCAGCCATGGCAGTGGCCGCTGTTGTGCTTTCACAGAATTCCCAGGCAGGCACTCTGTTCTTCACTCAAAAACCCACGGCCAACAGGGACAACGGGAGAATGGGATCACTGCCGTAAAAACTGGAGCACTGCGCACAGGAACACACCCAAGAATGAGCTTTCGCGTTTTTCTCGTTGGTTGTGGTTTTCTTTTAGCTGTAGTCAGAATTTTAGCTACATACACGTTACTAAAATAATTTTTTTTTCTGGAGAAAATGCAGTTAAAAAGCGAATAAAACATTTTATTTTATTATTTTTTTCAATCTTTGTATCTGGAACAGTGACTGACCTGATAATAAATAATAATAGCAACAAATACAATTTAACTTATTATTGTGATAAGAAAAATAATAAAAAACGATTATAATGAGAAAAAGGAATTGAGAAGTTTTTTTAAAAAAAAAGCTAATTAATACAAGAAATAAACTAAATCTTTAGTGAAAGCGCGGAACGATTTCTGTAGTAAAAACTGTAAATATATATAAAATGTATAATGGTGTAGGAGAGTTTACAAAGATTTATTAAGGAAACATTTTACTAAATGAGAGATAAAACAGTCTGATACTTCCAATAATAAATTAAACCAGCATACTCCTAATAAATAAATAAATCAAGAGGTGCTGTTCCGCTATCCAGGCATCCTGTCCTTGCATAGAAAATCATTGAATAAAGTCAATGCAGCGGGTGTAACCTTATTTTTAATTTGTTCAGAAATAGTTAATTGACCTAGGTATATACATGTCTGTGCTGCCACACCCAAGCTGCAAAGTCAACTCAGGATGTTTGCATATTCAAATATAATGTGTAAAAAGACACAAGTTGCATGTCCACAAAGCCTCTCTTAAATTAGTGCCTCTCTCATTTTTTTTAAATGGAAATGCTATACATCCAGAAAAGAGTTCTGGGCCATTTGGTTTAATTGGGATTTTGTTGGGCTTCTGATGGAACAGACTAAATGGTTCAGAATAAAACCTTATATCTGAACATCTAGTTATTTTGAATTTGAGCACAATGCAGACATTCATGTTTTCCTTTGAATTAAGTTTATGTTTTATTAAATAGGCACTTTTTACATATTTCTGGGTGACTTAAACTATTTGGTTCATGAAAGTTATGAAAAGTGGTTTTATGAATTATTCATGGTGTTTATGATTTGTTGTTTTGGTCACTAATCGGTAAAGCCACATTAATTGTGTGTCTCTCCTTTATATGAGGTTTGGCAAAGGATTAACTTGGCCTCCTCTACATTTTAAAGTCTTCATTAATAAAAAATAGCCTATTGATTGAAGTAGAGCATGGTGTATGGTTGTTGGTACCTATTTTTAGCCACTTACGGATCTAGTGGTATTATTTCATCCATAAAGTGCTAGCCTTTTATGGTCAGTGAGCTTCTTCTCATGGGTTGTGAATTATTTCAAATGCAAAAAATAACTAAAAGTTTGTTTTTGTACTTTTCTCTCTCCAGTACTCATATTTGCACCACTAGAGATTGCATTTAAATTAAATCACTCAAGTAAACTGATGGTAATATATATTAATACTCTCAACAACATCATTTAAAACTTCGTGATGCTTTATTTTTATTTAAGAATGTGGAACTAGTAGCATTGTGGCATATATTAACATTTGTGCACATAGTGTAATTTATCCTCTTGTCAGTGAGCTATAGGCATGTGTGTGGTC